ATTTTCACTGTTCGCATGTTTAGATTGAAAAATTGTGGGACACAGGAACCGGTGATGAGAACTGGGCGAATAGTGTAGCATCAAACAAATTGAAGACATGTTGTACAGTTGGAGGACAAAATAGAACTGATGATTTGTTCTATCGCAGTGAAAAAAGACCTGTGGTATATTATACTTTTTTTTCAACAGCACATTTTTGTATTATTTGAGAAATGACGAGTAATAAGCTTGTGTTAGCAGCATTGCATTATATGAAACCTATTTGCGCTTGAAATATGATGAGCAGACATATGAAGGCCTATTAATGGCTTATTTATCATTGCAGGAAGATGGACAAACATTTTGTCTATCAACAAGTGCGAAATATTTGCTTATTGCAGCTTACTGTGCGAGTTATAACCCTCCCAGCAGTGATCGTCGCTTTTTTACTAAGGTAATCATTTGGCGAATTACATCTTCATACTATGTCACGTACTGTCTTAATTTCTCTAATGTAACATAGGGATGTGTGATATGTCGAAAAAAGAACGCGTAATAACAATTGTAATCAGGCTATAATAAAGCTTCGATATACAGATTTGGTGAGATTTGCTAGATGGTTCCAGCTAATGTAATTTAAGGTGTTAAATTTTATTTCTCAGTAAATTGTTGTATATATCTGATGGAAGTTTTTTTCTCTGCTTAAAACAGAAAACTGAACGACCAACAAAGCAGGAAGAAATGAACCCTTCATTTCTGGTCATTCTGCTTAGTGCTGAGATCATCAATCACGGTCATTCAAAGTGCTGAATACTAGCAAAAATTGCGTGGTAACTGGCTTATGTTTTAGTCAGAAATTTCATTTTGAATTGACTGATCACAGACTGTTAAATATTAATGGCTTCTCTGCTGCGTTTTAGTTCTCGAGATATGTTTTCTGTGAATGAAGCGAGCAAGATGATTAACAAATTCGAGCTGCTGTATAATATTTGTCTCTAAAAATATAGTCAAATTTTCTTCCTGCAATTCTTTTATTTAATTAATGAGAGGCATCATCATCCCTACCTTTTGACAAAATTGTTTTGAGTATTCGCAAAAAAGAAAGTGCTCAAGCTTTTTATGAAAGATTTGATAGAAAATAATACAGAATCACGGAAAACAGCGACGTCGTGCGTCAACAGCAAAAGGATTGCGGAGCAACTTAGAATCAGCCCATGAGACTGGTCCGAAACCATTTCCTGTGCAAAGATTGCTTTTCATCTATCTTGCAATGCTTGAGAAGCATGATATGAGAAATCATTGTGCTGCTGATATCCACGCACAGGTTTGTATAATTATTAAAGGTGTATTTTTAAATACCATTCTTATCTGCAACGAAGTAATATTTGAGATGAGCCGCCTGTCATAAACCAGTGCAATATTTTGTATTGTAATGTTATGTAAAATATTCATTGAAGCATATTTTAGGTTGCAGAGCTCTGTGCGATGGGCTTTTTAAACCGAGTTTCCGCTGACGGAAACCTTGATACTCCGAAATATCGTTGCATCGCAACTTTTGAATTTTCGGAACAGTTGGCCAAGTCAGTTTTTAATTGCCTTTATCATTGTTACGGAGTTTAATTTTTTTTTCTTGAAAACGAACGTCATGTGTTACAATGAAGCAATATAGAGCAACAGAAAAAATCTATGTATGCCATATAAGCTACAATAAATGCATTGTATTTCTTGCACGAATTTTCAAGTGCAATTTAATTTCTTTTCAGGACAATGGGTATCGAAATCCGTGACTTCCTTATTGATTTTTCATCGTAAAAATTGTATTGTAAGTCTTATTTTTTCTTTCCTTTCTTGTAATACTACGATCGCCTTTGTTTTTCTATCTTGAATAATTCTCTTATTTGAATAAATATTTCAAATATATTTTCAGGCCATACTGTATCTCTATTTGAAGTTCGTCCGACGATTTGATTAATTAGCTGATTATGATATTATTTCCATAGAAATAACATTTCATTTTAATTTAGAATTCGAAGTAGCAAAAACAGCTTTGGATAAACAATAATACTTTTACTATTGTTGTCTTTCATTTTGTATGCTCTACAATTTGTCTCATGATATGAAATTATCGATAAAAACTGCTGGCAGTTTAAATTACATTGGATTAGAGAAAACATTGTCATTCATTTACAATATGCAGTACGTAATGTTAATGCACTGTAGGGACGTTTTTGGATCGTATTAGGAGCAGTAAATAGCATTAACCTATTTAAATTGAAACCTCCATTCATTTTATGTGGTAAAGTATAATGTTTTATTAAATTTTGATTCCTAGAATTCTCCTTTTACCTATCGTGGACTCTCTTTCTATATTGAGCTAAGGCAAAGAGAAAAATCTTTATTGTTTGTTGCACATAGCAATGAATTAGTTTACAGTGTAATTAATAATCAATTAATGTGTGTTGATGTATTGGAGAAGAGAAAATTCAAAGTCTTTTTCATGTTTGACAAGATTTGATAAGATGGGCAAATTTTGTTTTCGCATTTTTAAAATTATTTTTTTAATTTATTCGACCACTTTGTTCTTAAATATATTCAGTTCTTTCTGCATTCTATAGAATGCGGTAATTTATTTGATATTTCTGATATCACTTGATTTAAAGTTTTAAAACATAGTTTTAAAATCATTCAATCAGTTCTGAAAATTCTTAAGCTGAGTTTGAAATGGTTCTTTGCAATAAATTGTTCTTCCTGCAGGGAACAACAAATTCTTAACGAAGATGTCATTTTCAACATCATTAATAGATAGCTACTCCCATGCTAGAAAATTGCAAATTGCAATTTCCTTTTCGGCAAATTGAAATTACTGATGAAATAAGCTGGTTCTTACGGCAGACATCTAAGTTTTGCGTTTGTGCCGGAACATCGCTCATTACTGATAAAACGCAATCTGCAGACTGATCGCTTGATTTTTTTCCATTTCGTTAGTGGATATACCGCTTGAGATTTCTTATTAAGATTTCCTGCATAGGAGTCGTTAGAATATCGAACCGAAAATCTCTGGTGACAACAAAACCTAATTAATAACTCATCTAAATTTATGGGTAAATATAAGTGGTGATAGAATAAGTGATATAAATTTTGAGACTATAATATCGAAATGGCTAAATTGAAATTGGCAGCAGTTTTTTTTATGTCAATGATCACATAGCAATAATTAAGTGTTGGAAACTTACAATTTTGACGTTATAATTCTACCTACATATTTTAAAATAACATGATTTTCCAGTTAATATGCCATAGCTGTAAGTTTCTGAAACCCAGGGTTAATATTTCTAAAAAATAGCTGATATAAGCTGAATCCAATCCAGAAGGGAAGAGAAAATAAATGAGCAGAGCAATATTTTGCAAAATTAATGCAAAAAGAAATGTTTCTGATCTTTCTCGAATCTTTAATTCCGGATCAGTTTAGATTTCAAAATTGGAAATAAGAAGAAGAAGGCTATAGAAAGTTCTTTTATTATCCGTATTACAACCTTGGGTACAGCTATGAACTGGAAAATTATGTTATTGTGGAATATGTACGCAGAATTGTAACATCAAAATTATGAATTTCCAACGTCTTAATTATTGCTATAGTAATCATTAAAGAAAAAATTGTGCCATTTTCGTTATTACGATATTATAATTTTTAATTTTAAAAATTGTGTTTAATAAATGGAAAGGAATGGAGTTTTATAAACATATAAAGCAACTACTGATAGCAGCAATAGAAAAAATCAAGTTGTTAATAAATCTATCATAGTTAGACAATTAAATGAAAGCATTTATCTGTAATATCTGCCAGAAGAATTTGATAAATCCCTCAAAATTATTTCGGTCAACAAGTAAGACATTAATTTGACCTTTACAATAAATGAAATTTTAACTTCTTGGCTTTATATCATATTTCTTCCTATTTTCATCCTAGTTTATGGTTGCGAAAAAGTATCAGCCATTCATTTTCATCCTTGCTTATTCGACAATAAATTTTCCACTAAATATTCGTGAATCATTATTTTTATTGCTCCTATAGCGGTTATTTGAAATCCTTTATCTGACTTTTGTAACATTAAATAACACGATGAATGATAGCTTTTCTGATGAATAAAATTTTTGTTTCAGATAATTTATTCGAAACGAATTTTTTTCTTTTATAAAAAATTACAATTGCTAATCTTCACAAATCAGTTGCAAATTTGGCAAGCTCATGTTTTGTAAGGTGCATGAATATCTTCGATTGCTTCCAGTTCTTATGGGATTTTCTATTATTTCATTGTTATAGCAAAATACAGCTTGTATTATGTTACATAAGCCATAATGATCCTAATAATTATGACATATTAGTTAATCGATTTATTTATTTTTGCAACTTGCAATTCTGCAATTAAACTATCATTTTAAATCACTCAAAATTTTACATTCAGAAGTGAAATAGTTGTTAAGAAGAGAGTGACTGATTTTTTTTTTGTTTTTTTTAAGAAATGTCAGTAACAGAGTTATTTTTGAAAAATTTATTATTAATAAAAGAACTCTCTAAATAATGTTAAAGTATGAAAATGATTAGATAGAGCTGTTTGAAGATGTCATCTCATGTATTATGATAAAAATTGCATTTCTTGCTAAAAAGATGATCGAAAATGAACGATACTGATCAGCTCTCACCACTACGAGCAAAGATAATTTCAAAATTTCTCTAAAAAGTTGTAAAAGTGTTCAATTTTTGATGCAGTCATATTAGAAAAGTTGCTGTTGCCACGTTAAAAATTGCATCAACTTCATTTTATAAACACTGCACGTCGATAGACGTTTTATAGTTCCATAAAGATGGTGGCCATACTAATTTGAATTAATTCTCAACCGATCAACTACTCTTAATTAGATTGCATTAGTTACAGTAAGATGTGAAATTTAAAAAGAGATTTGCATTGAGTATAGCAAAAAAAAAGTTAAGGAAAAGTGGGAAAATTTAGGAATTGGCAGTGCATCAAAAATTTAGGATGAATGCAGATTGAATTAAGTCACATATCAGTTTTTTATTGCTACATTTTTGTTAACTTTATTTGATCCATTCAATCAACAAACAATTCCTCCTATTATCGTTGTTACAGCATCCTTTGATTGGCATGAAATTTGAATAAACGTAAGTTAATGTTTCTTACAATTTTTTGCCTTATATTCTTATGATAACATTGTATTTTTTAAAATTTCTCGAGATATTTGACATTTCAAGAGCCAATCAATAGATGTATTGTTTACTTTTCACGAAGCAAATATGAATGAACAACTAACTATCAATATCCAAATATTAATGACCAATATTATAAGGGATCTAAAAAATTCCTGATTGCAGTAATAGTAAAAATTTTAAATATTTATAATTTTTTTATCGTTGTTTTATCATTTACTCAATGACTCTCGTCAAATCCATAAAACTCAAATTTTTTTTAAAAAAAAATTTTTGAAAAATAGATTTTTTTTCAAAAGATCACTTCGATAAGCTCATTCCTTTTCCTTTCATTTGTTAGTAATTTTTGCTACAATAAGCTTTTTCCTACCCAATTTTTAAGCCATTTTCAATTGCAACTAAAAAAGTTCGAAATTTCCGAGTGTTACGATACGACAACTTCAACCTGTTCTCAAGATCATTAACACTCTTAGTGCAAAAAGATGTCGTAGCTGCTATTACGACGAACAATGTCTTTCGATAGCAAAGACTAGTCAGGAAACGGTTGAAACAGCACTTTACTGGGCTAATCTAAACAACTCGGTAACTTTGTGAGATTTACTTATGCATGAGTTGATTAGCTACATAAAACTAAAATGTTGAAAGTAGATTACTTTAAGAATCACTCAGTTCTTCCACTGCTATCATTATAAATAGCTCACACTCTTGGCCTTCATTTGAAATATTTCTTTTGCAAAGACTAACCGCTTAAAATATATAAATAATTTAGCATTTTTAATATTCTATTGAGGGAACAGTTTGACTGTTACTGATAGTGATTCGTTATAGGAAGCAAAGCAGAATCGATCGTTTGTCTTAATGCATAAATTAATTATTGAATTATTCCAATTGCTTCAAAATTTTCTAATAACAAAAATCATTTACTACAACTCTTATGCAAATGAAACCGATTATGTCACTGTAGGAAAGAGAAAATAGAAATGATGAGTATTTGTTCTATTTGATCCTTATCTTATCATTGACATATGTATTACTTTTTTTGCAAAAATCCTTTTTCTATTTCTTTTAGGTAATCAAAATAAAAAAAAAATTTCTATTTTTAGGTAGTCAAAAAAAAAATAACGAATTCTTGATTTAAAAGAATTTATTATACATGAATAATACATGTTAGCAGTTCATAGCTATAAAATTCTGAAAATGCAAAACAAACTTTCTAAAGACTGCTTTTTCTCAAGTTTGTTTTTGCGAAAAGATTTTAGGAAAAGGACAAAATCTGACGAGTCGAATCATGAAATCACTGATCCAATGCTAATGAGCACCTTTCCTAATGTGCTTCAGATATTTCTCACTTCAATCATTCCACAGCTTTATTAAATGTACAAGTGCACCCAAAACAGCATGATAGGCCAAGAAGGCTGTATGAACTGAGAGCAATTAGGCACTTTCACCTTAGTATGTTAACTTAGCATGCATACTGCTCTTGAGAACGACAATAGAAAACCGAAATACAGTTTTGATCTAGTTATTGTTTGCAGTTGTAGCAAAGATGAATTTTAAGTAAATGCAAAATTTATAATTATTGTGAAAA